AGGTTGACTCCACTCTCCATTAAGTTGTAATAAATTAATTTCTAGCCTATGGGAAATATGTCCACAATTTCTTAAAATGCACACATTATCTTGAACAATACATCCAGATTCTGGAAGAAGAGCTAATTATACAAAAGTCATAGCCCAGAATTGATTATATTATTTCCAAAGTGTGGCCCTGGACACCTGTGTCTGCACTCCAGCAGCAAGCAGAGACTGAGACAGATGATCTTCCACCCACTACAGCACAATGGCTAAATGCAATTACTGGATTTATGGAAAAGAAAAAAGGCCAGGCATCATAAACCTCAAAACTGGAACACTTTGCTTTCTAATGACCCTAAATTATCTCAACAAGCCCTGGAATGAAAATCACTCAATTAGCTTCATGCACTACTTGGAAGAGATCAGTGCTTTGTAGAATTCAATTCTTATTTTGTTTATACATTCTTTGAAATGAACAATAATTTTTCTAAATTTGTAAAAAGCTTTCATTTAATTTTTAAAATTTGATTTGCCTTCTCTGTGTATGCATATGTTTAATTCTTCAGGGTACAAGATTTTCAGCAAAAGTTTTTGTGGTTTAGTTTTTCCCACTTAGGCAGAGATACTATTATGGTGAAAAACAAGAATGTCACTTGTTTATCTTGGGAGGCTGACATGGTATAGTTTGAAAAAATAGTGTATTTTTCTGGGATAAGAAAATATTTTTGAGCTATGACATAACAAACATTTTCCCCACAATTATTTTGCCAAAATATGATATTGTGCATAATAGAGAGTCAAGATTTCTTTCATAAGCTCTATGCATCCAGAACCACTGATTAAAATGGTAACTTTAATTTATCCATGAAAAGCAAGAGTGAGTGTGGATTTTATGTACAAATGATACAGCGGTTTTGTCTCCCCCAGTTGAGGGTGGTAGTGGGCTGAAAACAAGTTAGTCCTTTCAAGTAAAAGTGTGAAAGCACACTGACCCATCAACTGCCTAAAACACTCTCCCAAGTTAGTAGGTTATTGGCTGGAATTGATTCTTGAAATTAGAAAAATTGGTCTATGAAGCAAAATAGTAATCAAAGCCATTTGATTACTTGTATATGGCTGAACGGCTCTGACCTCCTTTTATATATTTATATATTTTATTTGTTTCCTTAGTAATATCTTTTTTTACCAACCAGAAGAGGACTAATCAAAACACATAATATGTTTTGATAAATGTCTTCATTGAATACTTCAGAGAAGAGGCTTTGATCATTTTCACCAACTCTATAACCTGTCTCCATCATTTCTTTTACTTCCAAAAATGTTCTGGAGCCTCTGGGTAGTATTAGGAGCCATTCATTCTACAATGGCTGAGAGTTGACCAGGGTCCTATTTGACAGAGGCCATAAAACTGCAGACTTTAGGAAAAGATTCACATTCCATTCAGACGTGAAAAAGGAGACAGGATCTGGAAAAGGGGAAGCCAGGAAGATGAATAATAAGTTTTTCCTCTTCCCAAGTCACAAATAAAATCTGCATTTTTGAACACACAAGCTAACCAGAATCGGAACGCCTTCAGATTAACACCCATTGTACTGTACTTATTGGTGACACTCTGCTCTTTCTCAATATAAATGTATTTATTTTATTTTCACAATAATCATGTGTTATTTTTATACTCAGAAACTAATATACGTGCATACTGAAACATCAAAATGACCTACTCCCTGGAAAGAGTTACAGTTTGCATTTTGGTTTATATCCTTACAGGGTTTTCTCTGCACACTCCCTCCGAGACCCGCATTATTGACGTTCTTTATGACTACTGAAGTGGAAGAGGAGACAGGGTATTTCAATCACGTGCACAGAAATTTAGCCAAACAGGTCCTGTAAAACACCTCAACTTGGCTACAGCAGCTCTCAGCTGCTCTGAGAAGGCATCCCTTCCCCTGTGTCCTTCTTGCGCTAACCCACTGGGCTGGGGTTCTTGGAGCTCCCCTGGCTCCAGGCCTCATACCGCCTCCAGCCAGTGCTCCGGAGAAAGGAGTGTTCGATCCCTGCATGGGGCCCTTTCATTGCCTCAGCCCTCCCCTCCACCCCCCATCACCCAGGGAAACACACTGGGGAACAGCAGGGGCTCTCCCCAAGGGAAACTGTAAGTGGGTTATAGGTGAAGCAAAAGTCACTCTCCTCTAACGACCTCATTTCCATTCATTAAATTACTGAAGCAAATTAGGGTAAACACAGTGGCCAATTCCAGTGTCCCAGAAAATTGCCTTCCCCTGTGGAACAAGTCTTTTAGCTACTAGGAGAGAAAAAGAACATCCACATTTCTAAGAACAAAAAGATAATAACATTGACCTTAACTACCATTTATTTAGCGTTTTGCTAAGCATTTTACACCTGTTATCCATCTTATTCCACATTTAAACACTAGGAGAAAGGGATGGCTTAGTCAACAGGAGCATGACCTAGAATCAGGGACTGTGGGTTTGAATCCTGCCTCTGCTACTTTTCAGCTGTGCAACTGTGGGCAAGATGTTTAACCTCTTATGCTTTGGGGTCTGAGTCTGTAAGTGGAAATAATAAGTAATATCATAGAAGGCTTAGACCAGTGCTTGGTGCATGGCGTATGTTCAAAGTGCTTTTAAATCTCATTACTATTATTTTCCCATTTTACAGATGAGGAAACTGAGATTTAAAGGGTGCATGATTTGCCCTAAGTCACAGAGCTAATCCAGACCTGCTGATGCTTGAGGCCAAGGGACTTGTGCTCAGTCACCATAGATCAGGAGCACCAGGGTAACTGATTCCTAAATTACAAGCTTTCTCTGACATCACACGCCAAAGGTACAGAAAGTGTGGGCTGCTGTGCTGAATTTCTACAGACCCTAGATAGATCTTAGATGTTGTTTCAGGAAAAAAGAAGTCATCACATCCAGGGGTGTGCCTTGTATAAAAACTCTCCCAAACAGGCTAGAGCGCTGTACACAATAAAACAATCTCTCCTTTGTTTTGTGAGGCAAAGCGCTGGACCAGCCCACTGATGTGGCGGGTGCGTGCTTGAGAGGGCTAGACTCCCTGGTCTACTCCGGAAGGAGAGGGACACTCCTCTCTCCCCACCCCGGACTTGTGGGACTGCCCGGGTTGCTCTTCCAGACAGAAGCCTGCTCCTGTCTCACAGGGCCCCATAGTCAAGAGCCCTTCACCCCAGACAGACACCCTGGTGTGTCCCTGGAGCCATGCAGCGCACTGCCTGCTCTGGCACCTTGCCTGCCTCTGCCGACGCGTGTTCTCCACCCTTGCCTCTTTGTTCATAAAAGCAGAAGGAATCAAGAGGCGAAAAAAAAAAAATAACACTTTGAAGTGACTGGACTTTAAGCAATCAAGACTTTGCTTACCCTGGGGCCTTATCTCCAGCTTGGGATATTAATTTCCTGTTTACAAATGTGTCATCTTCTAAAGGTGGTTTGTTTTCATAGGAAAATATACTTTGACTCTTTTGAGTATTACAGTTTTTATATTACCAGTCTAGCCCGCTGCGGTAGACTGTGCTGCTGTTCCGGTGTCCGGTGCCTCCTCCCCGAAAGGTCATACTTCTCCAGCCTTGGGGTTCAGGCCCGCTCGCGAGGCTTTCGCTAGCCAGTGAAACACAAGCGAGCACAAGTGACACGTGGCATCCTGAGCACGAGCTTTGAGAGTCATCGCACGGTTCCACCATGGCTTTTCCCCTCTGCTGTAAGCACAGCAATGCTCAAGGATGGGTATTTTATACCCGCTAAAGCCTATTCAGACCATATTGATCTAAAATACTGCATAATTGAAGAAGCAGTTGAAAACAATGCTTCCAACGATCATAATCAAACAATTTTTTTTAAAAAGGAACTGGGGCTAGGGCATCGTTAAGCGACTGATATCATTCTGGTCAGTATTCAAAATGCAAACTGACGCTGAACATGTTTGATGCCCCTGGGCACATTTCAGCTCCCCACACAATGTACTTTTCATCCTAGTTCTTTTTCTCCTCTTCTGGGGTGCGTCTGTGAACTAGAGAGCGTATGCTCCCTCCTCGCAGCATCACATTCAGAGTTTTACCAGCCTCATGGCCTGTTCCCTTAAATGCATCCAGACAAAGGCAATTGCAAAGCAGAGGCCAAATTCAATCCTGCCACATCACACCGCACAGAAATGGCCCAAAGGTTAATGGCAGTTAGACAAATGGTTTACTCTTGCTATTTCTGCTAAACTTGACTTTGGATTTTTTTTATTATTTTATTTTTGTTATTTTTTTATTTAGTATTGTAAAGCTATAACCAAATCAGCTATCAGATCCATGTATACACTGCTTCAGAATGCAAAAAGAAAGGTGAATGGCAAACAAGTGAAACAATTATATTCAGGAAGACTATTTGGAAACGTAGTCTTTTAGAAAATAAAATCACATATAAGTAAACATGTCTGGTCAGTCAGATTCCTGGCTAGAATGTAAAAAGAAAAAAAAGTTGGAAGGATTATCCAGTTAAATAAGAAGGTATGTGATGCTGGTAAAGTACCAGTGACGTTTAAAACAAATGGTTCTAAAGACATATTAAAAAAAAATATATATATATATATATGAATGATACAATGTAGATACACTCATACATATTTATATACATATACACTTACAATATTTTAAATAATGTATGTAATATTAATATTAAATATAAATGCACACACATATATCCTGCAGGATTTACTGCTGCAACTCTGCTCTGGATTTCCTTTTCAGTCAGTTTGTAGTGATAAAAAGACCCCTTTTTATTTATTAGACACACAGTTTAAATTTTCTTAGCATTTTCTGACAATTGTCTCATCTTGTGCTCCCTACAAAGTGCCGGGTTTTAGAACCAGCACAGCTGAAATGAGTAATTGCCGGGCAAAGGGGCACTTCTGCTTGGTGCAGCAGGACGGAGACAAATGAGAGGCCGCCCCGCGGGGACGCTGACCCTGCTCAGCGCTCGGACGTCAGAACTCACCAGACGCTGGGTGAAAATGGAAACTTCCTCTGTGCTGCCGTCAGAGTTCATTCTCACCAACCTCCCCCGTCTAGGGGAACTTATAACCGTAAAAGTTATAGTTCTGTTTCCTGCACTGTCCACATCATTGGTCACAGCTTTCAGGTCACGAGATGAAAGGGGCTTCGTGGAACCTAAGTGAGGATTAAAACATGCACATAAGTATAAAGCACAGGAAAGCTGCCAGTTGGGAAAATACTCATCACAGGCCCTTAACTCTTTGGAAAACACTTGCTTGCGAATGGGGCAACTGGCTATCGCTAACTTGAAATCGGGCTGCGAGAGCCTAGCGAGCCCCGAGGCATCTATTTGTGGGCACAATTTGCTACTGGGCCCCAGGTGAGACGGCCTGCTAATCCCCAGCCCAGGCCTGGGTGTCTGACCCCTAGAGAAAGAAGGCAATGCCAGAGTGTATGCGCCCCAGTGTGGCTTCAAGCATGGGGAAGGGAAAGCAGATTGTGCAGTGCCTAGAACACAGGAGACAGCACCCTCCTCCTGGAGGGTAGAGGTGTCCTGGCCTGATGGCTACACACTCAATGGAGTGTGCATCTACTAACACCCAGGGGGGAGGGGTTGGCTCATGAACAAATGTGAGGCATCTCCTGGGGACCCCCAGTCATGCATGTTACAGGGATATTGTGAGGAGTGAAGGATCTGTGTGAATGCCATGGGAGAACCACCAGTGGCACATGGGTTTGCACACTAATGTGACCAAATGGGTAACCAAAGGCCAGAGAGGCTCGGGGACACTCAGGTTAGAGCAGTGCTCCTCAAATGCTCTGCGGCAAAGGGTCAGTGTTTCCATCCTAATCCACTGTGGACCAATAATTTCATAAAATACAATAAAAATGTTACAGCAATGTCAGATTGCAACAAAAGTTTCTAAACACTTCCTCTCGGTTTCTGTTCTTATCAGTCCCCAGGCTAGAAGGTCCATGGACCGCTCTTGGAGGAGCACAGAGTTAGAGTACGTATTTCTTTATTTTGCAATGATTTAGGGCTGCAAGCCCCAACCCCAAGCCCCAGGCCGCAGAGCTCCACCAGCCCATCCTTGCATCCCCTCTCCCCACCTCTTGTCTGTAGAAAAATTGTCTTCCATGAAACTTAGGAACGGGGGCGGCTGGGGGCGGCTGGGGGGGGGTGTTGCACAGGTGAACAGTGGGGAGCAAGCAAAGCTTCATCTGTATTTACAGCCACTCCCCATCGCTGGTATCACTACCTGAGCTCCGCCCCGCTCCCCTGCTGTCCATGGAAAAATTGTCTTCCATAAAACCAGCCCCTAGTGGCAAAAAGGTTGGGGACTGCTGGCGATGATTTAGGGAACATCTCCAACCTCATATATAGGATGTCCGGTCTGAAATAGACTCATACAGTTGTTCTCGCCCCAAATCTTATCTCGCCTCTTCTGTTTTAGCCCTGCTGAAAGGCTTTAGCATTAAGCCTTCTTAGGGGAGCTCACTGACCAGGCACCTTATAAATTGTTTGTGAAGTTGATTCAACTGTCCAATAATAACCAAGCCTCCTGAATGACATCCTCTTTCGCTTTCGTTATGTAGCCATTGCAGAGGGCAAGGGCCACCAATTGTAGTACTTGAACTACATTAGGTACTTGCCAATTCCGAGGGGAAGCCCACTTTGGGTCTGAAAGATTTCCAAACTTGTTTTCCAAGATTGTTCTGAGCTCCATTTAAAATGCCTGAGGTGCTGGGGTGAGTTCTGGGTTCTGGGGCTCCTGGAGGTGGGGTAGAAGGGCCTTGGAAAGGCCACTGCAGAAACATCGTTCCATGTCGGGTTCAGGGCTGCCTTGGCACAAGTTTGGTGTCTGCACAAAGTGCTCATGTGATGCCCGTAACTGCCTCCCACATTCCTCTCACTTCTTGCTGTGCACATTTTTTTCAGTATGTGCGACCTTCTGGCACCTGGAGCTGGGAGGCCAGGATCAGAGGTCACCCCAGGGAGGTGACAGCAATGTTTCTGTGCCCTTAGGCAATGTTGCATCTCCCTCCCCCCAACTCAGGCAGCTCATCCACTTTGTACCACTCACTGGACACTTGTCATAATGTAATTTCCATGGCTAGTGTACTTTCGAGTGTAAGTTTCTCGTTTCACCAATTAGTAAGCTTTCCATCATTTCCTTGAGGATCAACAATGTTCTTGGTTATCTCCCACTAAGTCTTACAATATTCAACTCAGTGTTTCAAGGTCTACTGATTAAAAGCTTTTACAAATCTCTGCTCTAAACCCTTTAGCAACACACTACGAATCCCTTCTCTTCTCTTCTCTCCTTCCATTCCTACTTCAGAGGACAGACCATTTTTGGTGAGATGAGGTTCCCTGAAGTCACAGACTTTGCCAGGAAGATCCTTTGCTGATGAGCTGTTTAACTCCGGGTCTGTGTAAGTTTATATTCTGGACCTTTTTAACAAAACACTCAAGGTCAATCGCTACCCAACACTCTTTGAACAAGAGCCAAGTACAATTTGGATAAGCAGAAAAACTAGGTCCTCAAGCCACAGTATATTCCAACGTGCCACCACTAAAGCTAAACAAACAAAATCAGTGGTAGCATTCAAGGTGAAAAGCTGGTTACAAAACTCCTTTCTGGGGAATAAATTTTGCAGAAAGAAATAGAACATGTTTCCATATAGGAGTGTGTGTGTGTGTGTGTATACACACACATATCTAACAAAATAAAAATATACTTTGACTAGTTTTTTTCCCTTAATTCGCACACACACAAAAAGCTCATTTAAAACTACAATACTTTCTACTTTAAAATAACTGAGTTAAAAAATAATTGTCAGATTTGGTAAGGCATAGAAGCCCTGGTTAACCTTAAAACAGTCACCATACTAAGTATTCGAGTAGTTACTTTGGCTTACCATGCACATTCCTACATGTCTCAAGCCAGGGCCACTTTTTAAGACTGAGAACACAAAGGAGGCAAACCAGGAATACCAAAGTCTGACAAGCTGGCGGAGAAAGTCCGACTGGTATGGAATCAATGTGAGTCAAAAAACAAATTGTTTTGACTAATGCCAGGTTGTAGTATTTCTCTAACTGAAGACAGTAAAACACACGGTGCTTCTACATAATTGTCTCTGTTTATTAAATTGTTATGTATATTTCCCTGGTTCTGAATGTCAGTCCATCAATAATACGGAGAGGGGGACAACATAAACAGTAACTACGATAGCACGATTCTCAGGAACCGACTCTCTGTGATAAAACAGAGACAGCAGTGGGACACTGCCCCACACAAAGGAGCAGAGCTGCTCGATGCCGGCACAGGACTTGGAGTCAGAGCTGGCACTCCGTCTTGGGGCTATGACTCCTATTAATAAGTGACCTTCCCAAGCCTCCAGGTGTTTTTATCTGCCAAATGGGGATGACCGAAAGTTGCTTTCATATACATTATTTCATTTAAATCATTGTAACAACCCAGAAAAGTAGATTAAAAAAATCTAAAGACACTATAAAAAACACAAGGATTCAATAGTATCTGAATGTCCAATCTAGAACAAGAATAGATTTTCTACTGGTATTATAGTCCTAAACAATCGATAGTTCTATAAAAAGGAATAGATTTTCCCGGATATGTTGGATCCTCCAGGTGCTGACCACAGCTGACCACTGGCACCTGCACTCACACACTGAGATGGGACCCACAGGCAGCCTTCCCAGCAGGACCTGACACAATGGGGTGTGGGGGTTGGGGGAGGGGACCTGAGGCAGGGGGAAGACTGAGGCATCTGTCATAACTGCTTCATGCAGTGGCAGGGACCTGCAATCTCAGGGTGACTGCTGCAGAGCCCAGGCTAAGCACGGTTCAGGTGGGTCCCTGAAAAAGAGGATGAGGTGGCCTGGCCATCAGACCCACACCAGGGGATTCTGATACGGAATCCCCTGACAGGGAGGGTCACTGCTACCCGGGGATGTTTGGGTAGGAGAACCACCAAGAACAAGTGGATCAAAAGCCCCCTTAAGGTCATCCCAAATCTAAAATCTGTGATTCCGCAGTTTTTGTTTCCATGCCCACGCAAGTTGAGATTTCATCAGATGTAACAGCCACCTAGTAGAAGTGTATGTGAAAATCTGACTTCCTTCCTACTGGCCAGGATGTAGAGCAGGAAGCAAGTCACAGTGTGGAGAGAGAGGGCAACACAGAAACCAGGAATACCAACCGAGCTAACGTGCGGGGAGCTGGGGAAAGGAGCCGCTCGCTTTGGGACTGGAGGGCATGCAAGCTCCTGTGGGGTTCTCAGACACGGGAGGCAAGGTCAGGACAGATGCAGGGCAGAAAAACACTTAAACCTAAATAGGTGCTTCAGTTAAAATCTTACCTGGGAAGATGCTCAGTCCTCTGTTTACTTCTAAGCTAATGATCAGAGCTCGAGCTGTGATTATAAAAATCTGTCGAGGTGCAAAGTTCAAGCCATCAGTAACCTGAAAATTAAAGCCTCCTGACATTGCTCCTTCAAAAGAAGAAATTACACTCTGGTCAGTTGGTTGTTCCGCACGTGCCACCCAGTTCTACCCTCTCTCCCACCTGTTTCCCTGCAAAGCAACTGCTATTAATTTGAGGGTGTGCTAATATGGTCACTGAGCTCAACAAGTCAAATACTGACAAAAACACAAAGTTAAAACAATATCAATAAAGGACTACAATGCAGATTCCACCCATCCCATGACATAATAAATGAAAGCAAAAGGGTTACCTCTAAGAACTTTTTAAAAATGTTAAGAACATATTCATCACCTCCATTTAATTATTTTGGAATCAATTTATAAAGTTATGTATGCATAGAATACACACATACACCCTAGTAATTTTTGAAATATTGATAATACTTGCCTAATAATACTGAAAATCAAAACTAGGGGGAAGTAAATAGTACTTATGCCTCCCACCCCAAATAGTTACCTGCACTTCTAATTATTTATCTGTCTCAAGCTAGCTATAGTCTGCTAAGAGGGAAAAGAGAAGGGAAGGGAAAGACTCAGCCTTGCTTTTGTTAAATTTCTACAAAGAGAGAACTCCACACCCACACTTCTGTCAAGGGATTAGTGCTATCAGTAAAGTTATAAATTAACTTATGAGCAAAGCTTAAATCGAGATGGCCCCTATCGATCCAGTTCCCAGGGGTGTTTTACCAATCTGACTCACAAAGCACCAGGCAAGATCACTATGCAGACAGCCTGGTGTTCGCATTCCCATCACCCTTTGAAAATGTCCATCCAGCAGTAAATTTGGAGGCCCACAGGTCTTTGCATTATGCAGTGGGTAGAAATGTGTCTTTGTTACCCTCAGGGACATGTGGCAAGGAACAAAAGAGGCATAGTCAGACTCTGCAATTATGTACAAGTACTCCCTAGTAACACGATTTAATAAAAGGTAGGTCAATGGCATGACAAGCTCTCAAGTTTTTGTTATCTAAGCAAATCCTGAGAGTTCTGATTCCTCATAAAAAATAAAAAGGCTACAGACTGTTTAAAATTTCCCTGTTACACTCAAAAGTCACCATTTAAAAGAGAGAGAGAGAGAAAGAGAGAGAAGTCTGAGTCTATATAATTCAGAACAGGCTCCACAACCAAATGTTATTTTTTACTTGCTTATTTTCCTAGAAATAGCACTTCGAAAGTAGGTTTAATGAAACAGGAAATGAAGGAGGGAACACTTTCTGCTACACAGTTCATGAATCTGGAAACAAAATGGAGATGGAATCAAAGGAATTATATCAAAACAAACATAGACTATTGTCTTGGGTGGGCCCTACCAGACTAATTATGACCAAAGAAAGATGAGGAGGGTTGACTTGTGGATTTTTCATTGTACAATCTCAGATTTTTCCTGACAATCCTTTCAGAAGGGCGACCTTATACAAATCACTTAGCCTACCAAGTCTCGGTTTTATCAACCTACTTAGGTCGTTATGTCCGATAATGAATTCGATTTATGGCAGAGCACTTTGCAGATATAAATGCTAAGAGAGCCTACGTAAGCCTAAGTCTTTGTTTGGGGCTGATGATGGACAAATGTGCCAGGGGAGAAGCAGCTGGTTTTAGCAACAGACTCGTCTGCAGCTGGGCTCCGCCACTTGAGGGTTATTAGCCTGCTTCACGGCCATTTAGAAGATGTGATGGACTGGCTCTCATGTCCAGCTTGCCTGTAACTCTCCTTCTGGCTTTTTTAGGAGAAATTAGTTTCTCCACTCACCAAAAGCAAATATGGACCTGGAAGTTGACAAATAAATCAATCCAGAGAGCTAATTTTTCTTTTAATCCTTTACTGCCAAGAGTAACTTCAGCTCTTCAATCTCCTCCGCCCTTCTCTGGGTGGCAGCTAGTGGAGAAAGCCCAGCTTCAGGGTCAGACCAACTTAATCCTTCTGAGCCTTCTGAGGTTTCTTCATCTCGAAAATGGGGTCATTACCCTCTATCTGCCAGAGGACTTCCAAAGAGGAAATGAAATGGATGACGTGGCTGCACCACCCATGGTGCCTACGGACAGTGGAGAGTCAATGATTCCTTTCCCCTGGACACTATAGTTCCAGAAATTTGAAATTTCTTTTGTGCAAGTCTCTTAGAGTACTTCTCTCCATTTTGAAAATATGATAATCTTTTCATAAAAATAAAAAAAAAAACGTTCTCAGCCCTCATCTAATAACATTTGGACTTTCGGTGCCTACTATTATAATAAAAAACACACATAATTGACAGAAACCTCCTATCAATTCAGTGGCTCATTAAATGAATTGTATTTTATTAATCAGCAATCTGCACATTTGACAAATGGAAACACACATATGTGAAAAATACCATCTGGTCTAGAAATAACATTTTGGTGCCTATCTGGGTAGATTTAGGATCCTGTTGCAAAGAAACTAACCCCCATGGGTTCTAGGCTATAGGTTCGGAGCCACTAGATGGAAGCATTCATCTAGTAAATTATTTTCAGATTCTCTGGGGATTCTTTGTGTTAACTGCAAAGATAATCAGGAAATTACTACATTTGGATTTAGAAAATATTTTATGCTTATTCTCTTTACTATATTTTCAAAAAAAGATAATTAAAAATAGCTGAAAAGATGAGACTTTTTAACTTTCTCATCATGCCTCACTGGATCATGCTCCCTCCCACCCCTGCAGCACTCTGGGAATGGCCAATATTTCAAAGCCGGGCACACCCTTGCAAAGTGACTGGGTCACCTGCAGATTTATAGTGGCTGCTTGACCTATTGATTTACTGATGAACAAGAGGAAGAAGAAAAGCCTTGTCAAAGTCAAGGTCTTTTAGCATTATAGTTATATTCATTCATTCATCCATGTATTCATTTGCTGAGTAAATATCTCTTTGTTTTGTTCATTAATGTATTCCTAGCATCTGGAAGTTAACTGGGTACATAAAGGTGTTCAACATTATTTCATTCTTTCAACAAATTTTTATTAAGCACCTACTATGTTCCAGTCACTGTTCCAGGTGCTAAGGACACCAAAGTGAACAAAACAAAGGCCCTGCCCTTATAGTGCTTATACTCTAGTGGGGAAGACAGACAACAAAAACAATATTCAACTCAATCTATATTAGAATGTCAGGTAGTCAGGGAAAGGGAGGGACAGTGGCAGGAAAGAGATGCTATTTTACTGGGTGCTCAGGACAAGGCTCTCAGAGAAGCTTAGATCTGAGCACAGACCTTACATGACAATTGGAGTAAGCCATGTGAATTACAGGGACTCTCTAATGCTTGCTATTATTAGCCTTACTAAAATAAGTTGCTTTTATAAAAATTATTTTGTCACTGAGATGGAAAGTTTTGAGATGGCCTTTGGTTTTTGGTCAGCAACTCTTAGGTATGACTATTACATTAACCACTGACTGAAACAGGTTTCAGTTTCATGCTGTTTTTCTCTGTGGCATACCGGTGTGTACAAACACTAGCTGGCCCTCGTCGATGTGAGCCTGGGTGAAGTTCTGGATGCTTTGGCTAGGAAAGGACTTGAGAGCCAAATGCCCATTGGTGGGTGGAGTGACCCAGTAGGCCAGGTCCTGTGGGGCAGAGTCCACATCTTCTGCACAGAGGTTACCTCTGGTCATCGCAGTGACAGAATTCACCCACACCTTAAAAAGAAGAGCAACACGCATCTTTTGAGTACCAATTGTAATCACATTGCATTAATAAACTGTATAGCTATGACACCCTGGTCCCTTGTACAAAGAATTAAAAGCTAAAGCAATTCATGAAGTTTCTTAATTCAAAACAGATATATAATTAAATGCCAGATGAAATGTAAGATGTGTTGCAATATTTAATTCATTTATGAAGTCTATGAAGTTTCATTAAAAATAGCATTCATAATTATTCAAATTTAAGTTTTTAAACAGCACATGCATACATAGAAAGTATAATAACAATAAAAGTTCATGGTAAATAAGCACCTCCTGTGTGCTGGGCATGAATTTCTATTTATCGCTGTAAGAATCAAATAATTTCATCAGCTTTTTAATAGTTGAGGGAAAAATCACACATATTGCATATTTCTTATTCCCTTTATCTAGCCAGTCTTGCAAGAACACCAATATCTGGTTCCTAGGGCCTTGCAATATCTGCTGTGCTTACAGTATACATCTACAATTGGATCCAAATAATATACCCTGTTTTTCAATTACATTTAAATTTATTTATATTGCTTAAAGATCTTCTTTCAATAATTCATCAAACATTTATTAAGCGTCCACCATGTTCTAAGCAATGTTCTGAGTGTTGGAAATATATCAGTAAATAAAACAGAGTCCTGTCCTCAGGGAGCCTACATTCCAGCAGCGGGGGATGAGGGACACAGAGAAGAAACAACAGGCATAATAAGGAAATGAATTAATAGTGTGTTAGAAAATCACAGCACTATGAAACAAAGAAAAAAGTAAAGCCAGATAAGGGGGGCGGCTCAGGAGTGAGCAAATGTTCAGTAGGAGGCTCGGTTTGAGGAAAGGCTGGAAGGAGGTGAAGGAGGGGCCACATGTATATGCAATTATCTGGGGGAGGACCATCTGGATAGAGGAAACAGCTCTAACATGGGCCCCCTCTGTTGGGGGGGAGGGTCAGGAAATCGGTCAGTGCAGTGGGAACAGAATAAGCAAGATGAAGAGCATAATGGGAGGTTGTATCATGCAGGGTCTTGAACACACTGTAAGAACTTTGGCTCTTCCTTGAGTGCCATCGGGGTATTAGGTGAGGAGTGACCTGGGAGGACTCAAGTCCTCATAAAACCCTTTGGCTTCGGTGTCAACAACAGAACCCGAGAGGGCCAGGGTACGAGCTGAGCGACCAGCAGAAGGCAACTGCAATAATCCCAGAGAAGGATGATAGAAGAGAGTGGCCGGCAGTTGCAGAGGTGGCAGGAAGTGGACAAATTCTGAGTGTCTGTTGAAGATAAAGCAAAAGAGTTTCTAACAAATTAGATGCAGTGAAGTGTGGAAGAAGGAAAGGTGGAGAGAATGACTCCGTGGCATGGGGCTCAGCAACGAGGACGGGTTCCATCAACTGCGATAAGGAAGGTCAGGGCAGATAGATTTGGGGAGTGAGATTGGGAGCTCAGTTTTGAACATGTTAGGTTTAAAATGTTTCTGTGGACACTGAATCACATCTGATGGCATCAGGCTGTTTTGAATTTCTCCAATCATACAGTCACATGATCTTTCACTAACACTAAAAACAAGCGGTTTTATCACTAACTCAATTATCACATTGCTATCTGTATTTATATTGATATATTTTTTTCTTACCCACAGAAACATCATGTGCACATTCCCAAGATTATGTGTCATTCCTTGTTTTCTGGCTAGAACCTTATCATCATCTTCTATGTTTCTTACTAACTTGTTTAACAATTCGATCCTAAATGATTTAATATATAATCTCTCCAGTTAAAGGGAACTATTCTCAGTAGAACAGGCAGTTTATAAAGTAACTTAATCCATGCTCACTCACCATCTAACAACTAAACATAATTTGAGACAGGGAGCTCAGGAAGCATATAGGGTCCCTATACTTTCATATCAGACATGATGAGGCTAGAAGACAGAAATTGATTCTATTTCTTCTAATGTATCAACTACTGACAGCACAGAAAAAAAAACTACTTTGTGAATTATCCTTTACCTCTTTGAAAGTTAACAGTTGAGATCATAAAGTAATTTTACCTAAATAAACATCCACATAACCACATGTGCACGTGCACACACACCTGCACACATACACACTGGACTTACACATCCAAATGAATGTTTAACTCCTCAAGGTGACTGTGTTGAAGAACAACATATGCCAACACCAACATCACTGCACACAATTCTTCTTTTGAAATTATTCTCAGGTTGTTCAAGAACATTTGATTTTGGTTTTGTCCAGTTAGACTATGTGGGTTCAAACCACTGCTTTGCCGCTAACTAGCTTTGTAAACTTGGGCACATTTCTCAACTTCCTGTGCCTTAATTTCCTCATCAGTAAACTAGGAGTGATGGTGTTATTATGTACACTGAGTGACTTAATATGTGTAAGGTGCTTGGAACCACATCGCCTGGCACACAGTAAGCTTTCAATAAATATGGGACTTTATGGGACTCATCTTCTTCATCAGATTTGGCTCTGGGGACAGATGTGATTTTTAATATTACAAAAAATTATTATATCATTAAGAGTGTGATGATTGCCACTATTAAGGCGATTCTGTAGCATGTGCTGCAGATTTTGTTTAATCTCACAGCATTCCTCCACAATTTGGCGTGAGTAGTTTATCTGTTTATTAATTGCATTGTCAACGGATGCTCCCGTATCTTGCCATTTGGAATATGTGCACTGAAGATTTTTTGGCACTAAGCTCTAAGGACAACAACTTTTAAATAGCTACCAGAAATGCTAATCAATACAATGTTCAAATTATAAGGTTTTGGCCTTCATTTAACATGTTGAAAGGCTATTTCTATAAAATGTACATGTTGGACTGTTCCACAAAATTCCAAGCCCACTTATGCCAGTTTTTCACTTTTTACATGTTTAAATCCACCCATATATCTTATCCTCATTTCTTCAAGAACTCAAGCTGACGTGGAAATGTGCTGTCATTTCTCTTCCCGTGACTTGCAGACACTCATTTTTTCCAACATACGCACATGAATGCTGGACGAAGCATGTTTTCCACTGTAGTTACTCTTCTGCGGAACACTGCTTCTTCCCCCTCTTGCCTCTGAAATATACCATCTTCCAAAACAAATTGAAAACCTGCCACTCAAAACAAGAGCTGGAAACCTCAAGTCTTGTTTCTACCAAACCAAATCTATTCCAATTAAAACCCCATTGCTCAGGTGAGGCCTGATTTAGTGCCCAGCACTTGGCAACAGAAACTTCAGCTAGGTGGGGAGAAGAAAAACAAAGACCCCCCAACTTGAATTCAGATTTAAAATTGATCCAAAGCCCACAAAAGAATGTTTCAGAGTATAAATATCTGAACAAATTAACACAAATCTGGAATAACATTTTTTTAATTTACCATTAGCTTTAAGAAGAGACCAGTGGTATTTATTAATAGAAACCTAATTCTGATCCAATTTAATTCTAATTATGGTTCTAATATTTAAAAACCCAGATCCTTCTTGAGTTTCACGTAGGGATGTGAAATGCTCATAAAAGCACTGTCCCACTGGTGGTACCCCCAGGACTTCAGCTGTCATTTCAGACTTTGCTGCCCTAATTCTTCTGCTATGCTCAGCTTGCAAAGCTCTTTCCAGGGATGACAACCATTTATCAAAAACAAGCAAATGGTTCTATTTTCAGAATACAAACAACAACAAAATATATAGTATTATTGAAAGAAAAACTTGAAAAATAGGAAAATGAAGCCCCCTTGTGGACACAAATATATTTTATCAGGTAGGCACCAAAATCACTGGTCATGCTTGACTACAAAAGTACTCAGTAGAACATATTTCAGAGTAAAATGCAAAGGATTCACCTACAATGGCCTAACTCCAGTTTGTCAGGGCACAAATGATCTGAATGGCCATGGAGATCAGCTGAAAGCCTGTGGCTTAAGGAAATGTTGTTACAGGACTTCAGGAGAAAGAAGTATGTTTGACATGCTGGGACGGAGAGGTTAACATTCAGATTTCTGGCTGAGAACTGCCCTCCAGGACCTGAGATGCCATCAGCGGCTCTATCCCCCCAGTCCCACCTTCTGTCAGGTATACTGCAGGTGGGCCTTCCTGCCACCTGCTCCAGGCCCTGATGACAAGTAAGGAGAGTGAATGGCACTCAAGGATAACCTGAAGGTTTTGAGAAAATGCTGATGGGAAAGTCAGAGATCACACCGAATCCAAAGGCCTTATGGGCTTCATGTTTGTGTAACTGCCTTTGCCCTAGACTCTACATTGTTTAACTTTGTTATTTTGGGCAAGTCACTTAACCTCGTGAGCTCTAATTCCCTCTTCTTAAAATAGGAAGAAAAGCAACACTCGCTTGATCTACTTCACCAGGTCCTTGGGCTTTTTCACTGTAACTGTGAAGAAAACAGCAGGAGACCCTCGTGGTTCTGAGCTCAAACTTGCATCTAGCTCTGCCACTTACTGTCTTCCAGCAGCTCTTCTGCTTTTGATCTTGAGGAAGCCTGTCTATGCTGCAGATTCCTCATCTTTAAAATATTAATAAAAATGATAGCCCAAAGAGTTATTGAATATTCAATGAGTAAATGTAAAGTGCATAGAACAATGCCAGGCGCAGAGCACTATGTATTAGTTGTCATTATGACCATGTAAATGGTGATTATTATTACTGTTTTATATGCTCTGAAACCTAGAAAAAGAAATGTCATTGTCTTAAATGATCCCCTAAATTTGAGACTTTGCCTGGACAGAAGTAACTAATAACCATAGCACTAGAGAAACTCTGTTACTGGAAAATACACTCTCATGGCTCTTCTATTTTGATAAAAGGCATATGCTTTCTACAGTAGCTTTCAAGGAAAAGTTAACAAGCCTGATGCGTGACAATTTTTTAATAGTATTGAAGGTTATCAATTCAGGAGACCACCCTGCAACATGACCAACACACAGTCTTTCCAGGAAGTTTT